GCCACAAAAAAACTAGTTTGAAACCGATTAGTGTTACATCTAGGAATTTCAAATTTCCTATCGGTTCTTAAATCATAAAAAGAAGTATGTGTAGGTGGCAGTAAACTTCGTAACTTATGATTTTCATCAGCAACTACTGTTTGAAATAAACTAGTACAAATATTTTCATGATGAACAGACAGTGACTCCAGACCACAACTAATTAAAGCGTCTTCGTAATTAGTGTTTGGACAGATGATTCTAATAGCTCTTTTTTGTAATCTTTCCAATTCGGAACGCAAGTATTTTGGCAACGAATAGTAAATGACAGGGATACCATAGTCGATAACAGATCGAATACATGTAACATAAAATAGAACCAGATCATTCCGAGGAATACCGGCCCGTTTAAGTTGGATCAGGTAATAGATTCGTTTGGATATTTTTTTAACTACCTCTTCGATATGTAGATTCCACGTCAGGTTATTATCGAATGACAAACCCAGAAGTTTAACGGATTTTACGACTCTAATACTTTTGTTGTTAATAAGTATCGGGTTAAAATCACGAGGGACTTTTGAGAAGGAAATACAGAGTTCCTTACATTTCTCTTCATTCAGCTTCATTTTATTGTTTTGGGACCATTGTGACATCTCATTAGCAATTGTCTGTGCTCTACTCTGTTGGTTTTTGTCAACTGTTTCCGATACTGTCGTATCGTCCACGTATTTCCATAAGTCAGTATCTGTGATAGATAAATCATTTATCAGGATTAAAAAGAGCCATGAACCTAAAATGGTGCCTTGAGGGACGCCCGAAGGTACTGCACCCCAATCTGAAAAACATCCTTGTGAAAGTTTGACTCTTTGGAATCTGTTACTTAAGAAATCAATAATCCAATTTATAACACTTCGTGGTAGATCTAACTGAAGTAGTTTATTGAACAAAATTCTGTGATCAATTAGATCAAAAGCTTATTGGTAATCGAATAGAATGATTCTAGTTGTAGAACCGGTACCGTCAAGCCCGGAGGTCCAGTTATGCACCATACTAAGAAGAGCAAAAATCGTCGATGATTTAGGGATTGCTCCATACTGATTGGGGTCAATTTTTTTCAAAACAGCTGGTTTCACATAATCATTAACAACGAAATGCTCTGCAACCTTCGAAATATTAGGTGTTAATGAAATGGGCCTAAGTTCTTTTTTCAGGTCCTGTACTATTTTTACTTTTGGCAGCGGTGAAACATTCGCAAGTTTCCATATTGCAGGTAGGCGTTGTTGTTTGTAGGATGCATTTAGGATTAGACTAATTGGAAGGGCAAGGATTACAGCATACTCTCGCAAGAGCCAATTGGGCACTTCGTCAGGGCCACCACTTTTACTGGGGTTGAGTTTTTGTAGCTGTGATAAAACCCTTTCTTCAGAAACTTCTAAGAAATCTGGGGTTTCCTCTAAGTTAAGTCGCTCTAACGGTGAAGATAGTTGATATTCTGATAAGGGTTCAAGAAAAGCTGTATTTATTCTGTTTGCTAGTTCTTGTTCCGATATATCTTCAAAACCAGCGATATTTATCAAATTTATTAGGGAGCTGTTCATTGATTTCATTCCTCCTAGGCGTTTGATTTCACTTCACCAAGCTTTAGGGTTATCTTTTTCTTTACTGTGAACCTGGGTCGTATAGTATTTTGATTTACACGCTTTTCTCTCGCGATTGACAATATTTCGGTAATATTTAAAGCAGTTGGATTTTGGACCATAACTGAAAAAGGCTTCTTGTCTTTTTTTTATAAATGTTTTCAATTTATCGGTCATCCAAGGAACATCTGCAGAGATTTTCTTAATCCGTTTAATTGGAATGAGGAGGTCAAGACCAATAGCTACAATGTCATAAATAAAATTCGCCATATCTTCACAGCTTTGTGATTGAGAAAAAATTTCAGGCCAAAGGATTGATTGTAAAAATCTCCCCAAGGCATCTTTCTTACTCTGACGAAGATCTCGTTTGTATACAAATGTAGACTTTGCTTTCTTCACAATGTGAGTGGGTGAAACTACAACTGTGTTGTGATCAGATAATCCAATTGGAGGGAGTATTTGCGGAGACTTGTAGAACTCGTGCATATTAGTTAATATAAGATCAAGTATTGCTTCGCCTCGAGTTGGTGATTTAACTATTTGTTTCAACCGAAAATGCTTAATTATATGATTCACATTAAGACGATTGAAATCCCCAGCAATAATAATACCGCAGTTGTAAAATTTTGCTTCGACTTCGCTCAGTGTCTGAAATAAGTGACTCTGCATGCTGAAATCGTCGGCACAGGGGGGGTGGTATAGGACGGCAACTATGATTGAGGAAAATTCACGAGGAAGTCGTCTAGGTTTTAAATGAAGCCATAAGATTTCGTGTTCGGAACAACATGAAATTTCTGAAAGGATTTTGAGTTTCGTATCACCGTCTCTGATATAAATACAGATTCCGCCATGGTTGTTTATAGATCTATCTTTGCGTATGATTGTAAACCCAGGTATACTTACAACGCTATCTGTAATTGAGTCATTGAGCCAAGTTTCAGTTAGAAAGGATAAGTTTATCTCATTTTCCATCATGAATTCGCGGACTTCGTCTATTTTAGGGGCCAAAGATCTTACATTAGTCACCATTAATTTTGGAATAAAATTACTAATCCTCTGTTTTAATGTAGTGGTATTAAGTTGATGTAGTTCTGTAGTAAGGGGCTTACATGGCAGTGTACAGTTATTTGGAAATTCAACAGATTCGTTTAATAATGACTGGGTGGTCTTGTTGGGTTGTCCATCAGGGGAGGCATATAAGGGTAATTTACATGGGGATAAAAAAAAGGGTGTCTCATAGTATTTAGGTGACTTTGAAAATAATACGGAGTTTGTCCGTAAAACGGGGGTGGAAAAAATTGTTGTTGGTATGGTTGAAAGGACTGTTGTGGTTTAGCGTGGGAGAAATCACATTTCAAACCCTTCAGGCAAAGACCTGATGGTGATGATAGTGGTAATGATGGTGATAATGATGATGGTAGTGATGATGGTAGTGATGATTGTGATGATGGTGGTAATGATTGTGGTAATGATGATGGTAGTGGTGATGGTAGTAGTGATGGTGATGATGGTAATAGTGATGGTGATGATAGTGGTGATGATCTCAGATGATGGTAGTAGTGATGGTGATGATAGTGGTAATGGTTATGGTGATGATTATAGCACCAACCGTATTTTGGTCCAGCTTTGTTTGTTCTCAGTGGAGAAAGAGTGCTATTATTATTAAACGTATAGCAATTTCCATATTTCCAGTTCCAAATATTTCTCCAGTATTTTTTGAAATACCTTCAAGTAAAAATTTTGTCGATATCAGATTCGTTGGAACTTGTACTTCATCCGTACTTCCTGGTGTGGCACATTGAGTGGTGTATGGTGGGAACCTAAGCCTTCGATACGCCGAGAGCGGTGTCTTTCGCAATTCAGCTCTCTCTTCTACAAGATGATTAGCATTCGTAGACATGGGGTGTATGGTGGCCCGCATACCCACAGTTTTTTTTTGCAACTCTACATGTTTGAACTGCGTCCTTCGCAATTGAAGGCAAGAAAAGATGACCATCTTCCTACTTTTACCTACCCAGTTTTGCACTGTATTCCCATCCAGCGACAACTGACAACGAGATTATCAAATAGATGTCCTGCCTTTTTCAATTGTTCCAGGGGGTACTTGGCACTCGCTTCCTCTATCACAGTTTCCAGGATATCTGTAGACGAGACGGAATCCACATTCGCAGAACCCATGTCACTTGTACCAATTCCACTCCTACTCCACACTTTTTCAAAGAAAAACCTTTTCTGCTCCTCAGAACTTTGCCAGTCACTTTTTGATGGCCCTCGTTGAAATTGTTTTTTGTTGCGGTAGTTTCTAAGGAGTCTGCTTACATTTGGAAGATGATGGTGTAAGCCACCTGCTCTGAATTTGTTCAGATTACAAATGGTTATTGCTGGGAATGGTAGATCCTATAAATACACAGGAAAATGAAAGATTGTTACGCTCCATACATGCTCTGACTTGACTGATGTGCTTAGTAAAAATTCGTGCTCGACCTAGTGCACATTTAAATCCGAGTCACAACTTGTTAACAAGATGCGTTCGCAACAGGCTTGTAGCAAGCTTGTCAACAAGTTGTAACAATGCTATTATTTCATCCGGTTGCTACAAGGTTGTCACTCACAACTTGTTGACAAATTGTTGAATTGCAGGACGATAACAAGTTGTTGAAACAACTTGTAACAAGTCTGTTGACCTCAACAACCTTATAGCATGTTGTCAACAAGCTGGGAACAAGCAGTGCGAACAATCCTGTTGACAAGTTGTTGGAACAGTATTGCTACAAGTCTGCTTCAGGTTTGTTACAACTTGTGCGTTTTTACGTGTGTAATGTAGGAATGTGGTTGGTTGTCTTCTGTGCTTCGAGAGTTTCACTTAGGGTAGTAATTATCCTTGCCCCGTGAATCGATCACTTTTGAGATGTGTCCTTCCTTATTCTGAGATATATCTGCGAGGACATGATTACCCTGTACCTTGCTCAGGATATTACTGATGTACATTAACTCTGCAATATTTTGTCCAAGACGCAGTTTTTGAACAGTATATACACTATAATATTATACTTTTTGTTTGTGGAAACACCACGTGAATTTACTGCAACGCTTTCGATAGTATTGGCACTGATGAAGATCCGGGATTACGGAACGAAAACTTTGCAGTAAATGTTTTATCGCCATGCAATTCTACAAAGAACTTAGCATATATTGCATATACACTCTTATCATTTCAATATACACGCCGGCTGCCGCAGGGGCATCCAGAGAAGAAAGAAACAAGGCAAATTTTGGAATAAGAACAAGGGAACAAAGCCAAAAATTCACAGCGAACAAGGAAACAATCAAGGTTGGGGAAGAAGCGAACGTGGTGAAATATTTCTAGGGAAACAAAAGAAAAATTTCCAAGGGAACACAAATCCCCCTCTGTGAAACCCTCCCATATATTCTTACTTACTGTTTCAAAGGATACATCAATGAATGTAGAGGTCGGATTAGTAAAATACGTCTTCACAGCTGAAAAGCTGAGGTATATCATCGCACTATAACACACCAAACACAGTAGAACCCAAATCGACCGAATGAGGATAGGTTTGGACGAAAATATTTTATTGATGCCACCAGCACTCGATTCTTGGGAGAATTCTTTGAGAAGTTTCTGATATTTTCCTGGCTTGCGTTTTATTGGCTCGTCTTCTGGAACCACTGTGCTTCGTTTGTTATTGTTTTCATTGAATGGCTTGACTTTGGTCTCCCTAGGAAAATGACGGGAAGATATTTACGAGAGGCTCTTGTGACATTAGCGCGCTGCCCCCAGGGGCATACATGATCCCAGAATGAAACAGTATTGTTTGCTTTGTGAATCCAGACTGACTCATTAGAAGTCGGGCTCCAAAAATGTTTTAGCATTGCGTATATTTATACAATGCCTAATTTTGAGACCGACTGTGCAAATTTGAAACCGACTAGAGCATCTCACTGGGGGGGGACACCCCTCCGCACCCCCTACATTTAGACCCATGGCTGCGTCTCATTGCTGAGTTCAGCCTGCTACTGTAGCTTGAGGGTATTGATATTACAGACAACGTCTGCTATACACTATATAACTACAGACCAGATATATGACAGCTGTATTTACACGCCATATAAAATCTCAAACTGCAGTTCAATATGCTAATAATTTAATAAACTCGAATTTGGATAATCTTCGTTTCCATGACGAACCAATAAAGTATTAAAAAAGTGTAGTCCCCTCTTTGGAAAACTCGTTATGAAAAGTTGGACGATATCGTTAATCATATAATTGTGCATTAATGTTGTACTTAGGAGGTAAATGGAGTGCGAAATGACGTACTGTAGGACATTTTTCGTATGCACTAATATTCTTTTAATCTTTATTGTTGTAAGAATGGCAATTATTCAGCCTCTATACGTAGTTTAGTAGGCGAAGAACGAAACTTTCCATGGAAGATATGTTCCAGTATATCGAATCTTTGTGTTTTATTGAGCTTTGGTTATAATCCTAAACAAAGCCCAGAGGCATTTCCATGACTGAAATACAATAAAAGTATATAGGCCTGGTGCCTAATCGTGTCTTTTCCACAAATGGGTTTTAATGAAACTTTTTAGCTATGCAGCTATAGAATGGTTCACTTGTATTTAGCATGAGCCACACTTGAATTTATTGTTTCATTCTAGCAAAATCTTTATATTTCTACATATCTCGCCTTTTCAGAAATTGCATCTTCATTTCATGTGATCTATGATTTCGCCTACATGCTTCGTTCTTTTTTTTCAATTAGAATTCCTCCGCTTATAAGGTCATTTTCATGCTTACCGATTATATATTTTTCAATTATCACCAACAAACACAATTGCAAAACTGCAATAACCTTATTTCATGATTACGTTTGTCACGTTTTATAAATGGACAACAGTTTGGGCAGCTGGTCAAAAAAGATCATTAAATTGCGGGCGTTATAAATTTTATGAACAGAAAATGCGACTTAGAATAATAATATAGTAAAACAACCAAACTTCAACTTGTTCACAAGATACAAAGCTTCAGTTTAAGACGTTATTTCTATATATACGTTTCTTGTCCTGCAGACAATTGTTAAAGTTTATGTAAAAATTGTTGATTAAACAGGTGTAATTTAATTTTTCATACTGAGAAAATTACTTACGCCACAAGGCGGGCTTATAACTGATTAAAGTAAAATCCCACTGAAGCACATACCTATTCAATATGCTCTGCATTGCTGTTTGTAAATAAGTCATTCAGTTTTTAAACTTACGTCTGACATATATGATCTATAGCTAGAATTAATAAAATTTAATATGCCATCTTTTTGCTGCTACGCACGCTATCTTCTTCCTATGCTAATAAGTTACAGCATTTCAATTTTAGGCAAACGAGCGCAAATGAATTTCCTCTCGGACTAATTCAGCCAATATCAAACGTAGACGTTTTCAAATTTTCACCTTTGCGACTATTATACGCCTTTTTTCTCAATCGTAACAAATCCTTGAGACGCGTAGACTTCTCATTATAATGAGCCGGTGTCCCAGGAAAGTTTCGGAAGAGATTATTTTGCTGGCCTCAGAGTGACAAAACGTAACAAAGCAACGGTTTTACTAACACTAACCCTACTCCAAACACCAACTCTAACCCCAACCCTAACCTAACCCTACTCCAAGTTTGTTTCTAAACCAATCTTGAAGAAAAACGTTTTGACGAAATGCCATTTTGAGGTCAGCGAAATAACCTTTCTCGAAATTTCCTCGCTGACTTGTGCAGATAAATGTCGTAGATGTTAATTCGTGTTGACGAACGATTAGTCTGTTTGCCGTGTTTATTCCCAATTAAATTATCAGACAAACTATTCTTCTCTTTGTCCCAGCGACTGTGTACATGATTCCGATTTGCTGGAACGGGTTAAGGCCTGTTTCCACTCAGGAAAATTATATCCCTGGATTGGAACGGACAAGAAAATTTTTCTTTGTCTTGTGAGCTCTGGGTTGGAATTAATGACTTTAACACAAAGAAAAATGTTCTTGTCCGTTCCAATCGACGGATAATTTTCCCGAATGGAAACTAGCCTTTTAGACGGCGGTATCGTTGTCGAGAAGATCTCTTAGTTGAAGAAGAAGATTATTGTTACTTGAACAATCTTTCGTTTACAATTATACTATAATCACTAGAAAAATAATGCAATTTTGCTGAATCGTGCAACTTATTTCAATACATCAAAATCATCCCGTTTCGTTCCAGCAAAGCAAGATCCGATTTAAACAGTCTCCAAGTTTCCAGACGGATCATCTTTCTGATGTATAAATCGGAATATTATATTATCACCAGGTGTTAACTATTCCTGCCTATATGTTTTTTATGTGTCGTTTTTGGACAAATGTACAAGTAAATATAACTGCTTATTGTGTGTGGCGAATCTTGTAAATAAATAAACTCACTGGATGCAATCCTACCTTTCCATCACGAGCAAACTAAAGCGATTTCTTGCTGCAATTTTTTGGATCCAGTATGAAAATCTGTAGTTACGTTGATATGGAATATATTTTTAATGAACTTCTTCCGAGCAAATTGTAATTAGGAAATATTGGACATTGTAGGTAATAAAACGCAACAGTGTTTTTTGTTTGGAAAACAATGCAGTGCGGTCTCTTGAAGACAGGGCTTATTCATTAGCATTAGTGGGCAGAGGGGGACGGGTGAGGGGGAGGATTGAGGGACGAAGGGGTAGGGATAGATGAGGGGGTGGGGATAAATAGTGGCTTCTCCTTCGATGGCAAAACGGCCGAGAGTGATATAAATACAAAGTTTAAAATATCAGAAGACTGGCTTAGAAATGCAACTAATTGTAATTCTCAAATGCCTGTATTTTACAAAAATAATTATTTTATAAATAATCGATATTGGTGAATGTGTCATGTCCTTGGCATGCATTGAAGGTCAAGTAATACGAAATTAACACTCGTTGAAATCTGTTTTCCAAGTTCCTTCAATATTCTTGCTCTCGTTACTTCGTCTTCATTAAATATTTGTTGCAAATTATTAATTAAGCGCATAACAAAATGAATGTATAGGAATATTGTGGGGAACCACGTAATTAAACAGATGCTGCTTGAACAACCTTACAATCATATTATAATCTATCGCCAGAAAAATAATGTAGTTTTGCTTGAATAGTACACCCTGACTTATTTCAACACATCAAAATCATCCCTCCTCACATCTCGTCCCGAGATCATGTACAGTAAACAGTCCCTCAGTTTCGATGCTTGAACTGAATAAGTTGCAACTAAACATGCATTTGTGTCGAAATGAAACCATTAGAATTCCGTATCGTGTTTATGTTGGCAATTTTCTCGTATTGTCTCAATCTTTCGCGCGACTTTAGTCGTAAACTGTTTAATGGGGCAGGGACCTTTCTCCTTCTCTGGCTGCGGCATTTCACGTCTTCTTAATTCTACAAGGCCAGGATTATTGATCAAGGTTACTGTAACAAACCATCGGATCCTTGCTTTGCGTGTGTCCACTTTGCGAACACTTCCGTCCACTTTGCGCACGCTTTCAATCACGAGGTTGTTGGTTTCGCTCTCATCAATTTTTTGTACGGTTTCCCACATCAAACGGTTGAATGTAAAAAGGATTGGATTTGTATGCGTGTGCTCCAGGAATAGATACCCAATATAGGTTTTGTAGCCTGCAAGGATAGACTCGTATTAGGTTTTGTTAACACTATACCGAATATCTTTTCATAGCGTCGTGAAAATAACACCTATCGGTACCTTTTAGGAACGCTATTTTTGGAGAAATTTTTAAAGGAGAGATGTTGTTTCGCTCTGCTTCTGAACGTTGTACATTTCGTATCGGATAGGTGCTTTTTCGTCCCGCTACGAAAAGTTGTTAGAGTCGTAAGAGCTTGTACATCTGATACAAACCAACTTGTATAATACAAACCGACACAAGCCGCTGATATTGTATGTATTATTTATCCTTTTACAACTTGTCAACCTTACCTGGATCAAATAATTCCCAGTCCCTTGGCAAGGCGCTCTTCTGCAGTCTAGGAAGAAACAGCGCTCCGAGGACAATAGCGTAAACTATCCGAATTAGACAAGAGAAAAGTCCCACAAATATGTTGAGAAAGAAGAAGAAATATGAAGCAATGTGGAATAGACGCCTAAAGAAAAACATTTAAAATGATTTAATGTTTGCACTTCGAGAAAGAACACACTGTAGTCTGTACACTAAACTAATACTGGATATCTCTATCAGTTGTAAACAGTTCTTTGTAGAAGTTCAGTAAGAGAAATTCCCGATTGATCCGGTATTACTATAGGAAGACAACTTAAACTAAACTGACTCTGTTTTGTATACTGGATAGCTCTATCAGTTCTATTAAGTCTGTTGTAAAAGCGATTATTTATTAATATTTAACTTACCGATTATTTAATGCCAACATAGCGCCAGAATCTCGCAGGAAAATATATTTTGCCATCAGTTTTTGTGCTATTATTGTTATTAATGTGATCATAAAGGTTGGCCTGTATTTAGAAATCATTATTTTATTTATAAAGTTGAGATACTGATGATGATGATTGTGATGATGATGTTAATGATGATGATGATGATGATGATGATGATGGTGATGATGATGATGATGATGATGGTACGTGGTGATGATGGTACGTGGTGATGATGGTACGTGGTGATGATGATGGTGGTGATGATATTGATGGTGATGATATTGTTGGTTGCGATAAAGATGATGGTGGTGATGGTGGTGGTGATGATAGTGGCTGTGTGGTGGTGGTAATGATGATTGTATTGGTGATGAAGATGATTGTGATGAGATGAAGATGATGATGATGAAAATTATGGTGATGATGGTGATGATGCTAATGATGGTGGCTGTGTGGTAGTAATAATAATTATGATGATTGTATTGGTGATGATAATGGTTGTAATGAGATGATGATGATAGTGGTAGTGATGGTGAAAATGATGATGATGGGCGTGGTGGGTGATGATGATGATGATGGTGGTGGTGGTTTTGGTAATGGTGATGAAGAAGATAGTGGTGGTGATGGTACTGATGCTGGTTGTGAAGATGATGGTGATGATACTGGTTGATGGTAATTGTGATGATGATGATGATAATGATTATTATCGTATATTACGCGTATAAAGATAGCCAATATTTTTTAAAATACATACCATATCGTTAATATTATAGACGGAATAAGAGCATCTTTAAATGATACTCCATAAGTCAAAGGCCAAACAAACCCGATGGCAATGACAGTTACGATAAAAAATATCACAAGATGAGTGATCAGAAAACCTAGAGAAACAATTATGAGTTCACATTCACCAAATTGTTCAATTTTCTTGTTTACGAAAACATAGAATAGAACGAAAGGACCCTAAGCATTAGAGTTCTTCACATGAAATCTTGTAACTTACTCCAAAGTATGTATCCAGCTTGATAACCAGCGAATTTAAAGCTTGCAACCTGAATAACGCAAGAAAAGAGTTCGACCATTCCCATCTAAACTCGTCATTACTCTTGTTTTACTTCAGAAGAAGTCCTAAACTAAACTCTACTTATACTAGCCTGCGAACAGGCTCTCAAGCTGAATTGAGAGCCTGCATCGATGACTAATGAATTTGAATATCTGCCCCGTAACGTTCATTTTTCCAAACATGGAATGTCTATCCTTATATGGTGTTGTTTACAACTTTCGTGCAAACTAAATTTGGACCATGCAAACTAAATTTAGACCGTACAGTTTATACTGTTTTTCGAAATATAAGATATTGAAGCAAAAGTTTAAATGTTTTGAATACTGTGTTCTCAAAACAGAACATTTCGTGCTTTGAGATAAGATGGCCAAGACCAATTTTATCAGTTAATGTGTTTTTTATGCATAGTGCTTAGCAGTTGACATATATAGAGCTCAGCGGAATAATATAAATTATAGCATCTGACCAATGAGAATTTTCTCATCACGATTTGAGACGCAGGTATTCAAATTCATTAGTCATCGATGCAGGCTCTCAATTCAGTTTGAGAGCCTGTTCGCAGGCTATACTTATCCTGGATAGTTCTACGACTTCCAAACTGTTCTTCCTGGAGTAAGGATCATCTCTTGTTGATCCAGTGTAAATATTGGAAATGAAAGTTATGTATATTGGATAGCTCGATCAAGCTGACCAATTCTAAAAAAGCATACCATAATGTTTACGGGATCTTGGTTTTCTATGTTGTATGGTAGGAACGACCTGTCTCCTCTTTGCAAACGAAGTACGTGACCTCTGAAAAAATGATGAATATGATTTTGTTAGCGATGTCGTTCACATGTTGCTTACAATTAAACATTTCATTGTTAAACCTACCTATACCAGGATAACATATTTGCGATCATAACCAAGTCTTTGATAGTTGCCACACCAATTGCGACCATCCAGCATACTGGTAGACATTGGAAAGATAATTATTTGCGTAGATTATTAGCGGGGGTATTAAATAAGTAGACTCTAAGCACGATCATACAACAGATGATGCTTTGTAATTAGCTCATTGTATAATTTATGCATGTCCCTCTAGTTATATTTAATTTCCTTGCCCCTATAAGTGTCTCAATAGTTTAGAGGTCGACGACCACCTTTACCTCATAACGCTTATTGAAACACACAAAAAGACAACTTACTTATTACTACTTTAATACCATCCTTGACTTTGGCCCAGTCCACCCCGGTGATTCCTTCAGTTTCTAAGATGTCAACCATGCCATCTGCGATCAGTTTGAGATAGCGACCGAAAATTGCGTAAAATATGATAACCTGTCGAAGACATGGATAGATTTGAATCCATTTCCACTCAGGAAAAATTTCCACGGACAGAGAATTTTCCGAAAATATCATACTTAAAAGTTTGAAAATTTTCAACTTCAAACTTTATTTCCGACGGAAAATTTGTGTCGGCCAATCGCATTTTACAAAATTTTCTTTCTGCGGAAAATTTTCCTGAGTGAAAATGGGCCCCGAGATAAGGCCGTTACAGATCTGAAAACAAATTGTTACAAGGTTGTTGTGAAGCTAATATCAGGATGTGTTCGCACTGCTTGTTCCCAGTTGTTGTGACAAGTCTGGAACAAGTTGTTATCATCTTGTTACAAGGTTGATGACGGTAACAGACTTGCTACAAGTTTTCCAACGAGACTAATACAGACTGTTCGTAACAAGTTGCTACGAGCTTGTTGTCATCAACTTGCTAACAACTTGTTAAGTGTAGACGATATCAGACTTGTTGAGTTGTTGGAACAACAACCTTGTCATAAGATGTGCGGCGTTAGGATTTGGGTTAGGGTTTGGAATATGCTGTAGATCATGCTTGTGATGTTACTCTGAGTGTATAGCCACACCGGGCAAGCTTGAAAAATATGCCTGGCCACGGTGGGAATCGAACCTACGACCTGTGACTTATTCAAGTCAATCATAATTACCAAATACAAGCAAGCGCCACCAGTAATGTAGATACAAATAATTCGCGTTGAATATTTAAAATCTACAAGAAACAAAAACATAATCACGGATCATTATCTTCTATGATTATATAACTAATGATTATCAAGATAATTATTCTTGTTTGTCGAATAATTGATAAACATGATACTTTTTCCTATACCTGGCTTCCATCTGTACACATTTGAGACAATTTTTTTTTTTAAACCGTTCATCTCAATCACAGTTTCATTGCTAGAAAGAGAACAATTCAATACAGCCATTGTTGAGTTGCTAAACACATTATATACATTGTAATTTTAAAAATTTGAAAAGTATGAAAATCCTTAGAAGAATTCCGTATCAATATGAGTAAATCGTGGAAAGTATAGGCCATTTACCTTTTCGGAACAGGTTTCAATAGTTTTTTGACGTAGTGATATTTATAATTCTCTTTCCATTCATCTTTCGACTAAAACGGAGTGGAAAGAAACGCGTGTATATTGTTTGTTTGGTAAATACCATATTTATACAGAGCTGGGAAAAGTGTTTAATGTTCATCGGATCCTGAATTTGTCCTTTTCAAATGTTTCTCAAAAGTGCATAAACACGATGGAAAATTTGAACATTGAACTACACTTCATTGTCTCACTGTGTTGCTTTGTTTTGTCTTGTCTTGTCTTGTTTTTGTTGTGTGTTGTGTGTTTTGTTGTGTGTTTTGTTGTGTGTTTTGTTGTGTGTTTTGTTGTGTGTTTTGTTGTGTGTTTTGTTGTGTGTTTTGTTGTGTGTTTTGTTGTGTGTTTTGTTGTGTGTTTTGTTGTGTGTGTTGTGTTGTGTTGTGTTTTGTTTTGTTGTTGTGTTTTGTTTTGTTTTGTTTTGTTTTGTTTTGTTTTGTTTTGTTTTGTTTTGTTTTGTTTTGTTTTGTTTTGTTTTGTTTTGTTTTGTTTTGTGTTTTGTGTTTTGTTGTGTTTTGTGTTTTGTGTTTTGTTTTGTTTCGTTTTGTTTTGTTTTGTTTTGTTTTGTTTTGTTTTGTTTTGTACTTTGTGTACTTTTTCTAATCTTTTCGACTTTGTTTGCACCTTCTTGTGACACTCTTTAGATAATAGTATTATAATATATTAATGACCACCTGTCTCGATTGGCCTTCATGGTTATAACAGGGGGCCAGCACTTATTTTTTGTAAATAAACTTTAAATAATATTTCCATGTAACACACAAGTGCAAAATAGATAATTTATCTTATCTTTATCTTCACAATCTCAAATGACAGATAAGGAGGTCTGATATAATGATTCAGATTCTCTCATAAAGTATGCATGCATGTATGAAAAATTGAAATATTCAATCTTCTTGCTATAAGACAAATGTTCCTCAAGATCCCGAGATCTCGCCGTTTTTTCCAGGTCTGTACTACACATTGATAAATCATCGGTGTCTTGTAGAGAAAGGAGAAATGGTGAATGTTTAACATACCACAACGATGCCTCGTCTTTTACTGATCAAACATCGTATCAACACACGGATAAACGAGAGCAGCAGGAGACCATGAAACAATACAGATGTCGCTTGTTGCAAAATTGACTCTACCACTGTGTACTAAACAACAATATTAAAACGTTATAATCGTGAAAATCTCACATCTTGTAGCAAGTCTGCCAACAAGTCTTCAACAATTGTGTTCGCATTGCTTGTCCCAAGTTGTTAACAATATGGAATAACTTCTTAATAGTTGTAACAACCTCGTTGATATTGTCATACTTGTTGCAAGGTTGTTCCAACAAGTCCGATACAGTCATGATATAACAATATTGACACAACCTTGTGTCGTCAACCTTGTAACATTCTTGTTATATCGTAACTGTATCAGACTTGTTAGAACAACCTTGTAACAAGTCTAACAATAAGATGTTTGTGTGATGTTACTCTGAGTGTATATCCACACCGGGCAGGCTTGAAAAATATGCCTGGCCACGGCGGGATTCGAACCTACGACCTTTGGAATACTAGCCCAATGCTCTTCCAACTGAGCTACGCGGTCAGGACGGTTCGAGTAAGCGATATTCACCTGAGTACATTACACCAACACAGCAGATTTCAACTCTAACAATGCCATCAAGCTTGTTACAACTTGTTCCAAACTTGTTACAACAACTGGGAACAAGCAGTGCGAACACAATTTTTGTCAACACAGACGTCGGATGAGAAACTGGATTAAAAATTGTGTTTCTGTCAGTTTGTCGTTGTCAAAACGTCACTTGCCTGAGATCATTATGTCATTTCTTACCGAGTTATCAGGCGAGTCCGCACAGTCGATTAATCGAAACAGATACGACAGGAACCTTTAAAAAACAGAACAAGAAATGGATGATTCTTAAAATGAGTACAATTGCAAAGTTTGGTTGTGAATTGTTGTAAAATGAGGAAAATATACTGTAGCCCTGTGAAGTTCGCAAATTTTGTATATATTTGCATTACGAGCGGGAAAAATAACCATTTTGAGCCGAAAGTTTTGCTTTTACCGCGCGTAATATCAAATATATCAAACTTCACAGGGCTATATTTTCTTCATTTTACAACATTTAGCAACCAATCCTTGCCGTTTAACTCGTTCTAAGACGCTCATTCTAGCTGTGGTGTTGGATTTCGTTCTTCTTGCCTTGATCAAAATTTAGTCTATAGCTGGAAACACCCATTGTTTCTTTATTTTAAACATTGAATCGTAACATAGGCAATAGAAATTGCAAATGTCGGTTGGTTTCACTATGCTGGTCAAGCGACAGTTATCAGAATAAGAAAATAAACACGCTTCCTGGTAAGGCTTTCTGCATGAAACTCATCAATTATTGAACAAACGTACAGTACCTACCATATTATCGAAAATATCGTTCCAAGCACAGCTCCGAGCAACCGTTGATGAGTTGAAATACAAGCGAAGAACGGATAGTAACTCACGCCAACCACAAGCGCCGCAATGATTCTTAACATTGCTGTAGATACAGTAACAGAAATTATTTGAGTGGTGACAGTTGTCGTTAGGGCGCCTGCTGCCGAAGGTCGAGGGGAGCTGGGTATTATTAAGTGATGGGCAACCGTGTGTGTGGGTGGGGGGGGGGGAGGGGGTGCTAATCATCCTTAATTGCAGCTGAAAGCTAAGCTGGATTTGATAAGCTTTCTTTGATTCTTTCTTATGCTTCAAAGCTTTTCACAGTGGTACTTTGGTTTTCCGGCTCCAAAAACTAGTCCTTCAATCTTAGGTGAGCTCTGTGATCACACATGGTTTGCATATTGGGAACCAGAGGTGTCCTCGTCCTATAGTAACCCTTCGATTAAGTTTGAGCTGTGTCCTTCACAATTTAGTTCTCAGCTGCAAAGAAAGATGATGGTGAAAAAGTATTATGAAAATTTGCTTACCTGTGAAAGTACATATGATGGACTTTGAACTTGAATCTCGAAACTCTTCACCCAACACGGCGCTGAAATCATTGTTGAGAATATTTG